GGGTATGATTACACCCCACCAACCCAGTCCATTTGGTTGTCTCTTACGACAAGCGTAGGTCGTGGGTGTTTCAATTTTCCGTTTTATCCAAACACTAATTACAGATAAACAAGAAGCAGGTCTGACTTGACACATTTACTCTCGGAGGCCATGATCTTAAAAAAGACCGGATGTACAGGGATCAGTTATTGTACTGGATTATTGTGATATGATAGGGAGCAGTCATTACTCGATATTGCAACAGTTGGTGCCTAATTGAAACTGGATTCCATATAGCACTGATCGCATTAATAATATATGCAATTATTATTCATCTGTTATATTAATTCATCATATGTCTTCAAAATTCTTCATAGCTGATTAGCATTCAAAGAAAATATTTTTTGAAGATGTATTTTACAATTTTACTTCACTGTGTCCAAACCTAAAACGGGTTTTTCAATATGGCTGCCGTGTAAATGTTCATGGAAGATGAGGGGGTACGGGTGGCCCAGTCGTCTAAGGCGCCGCGAGTCGCTGTGCAGAGTTGCGTCCCTTGGGCCCGCCAGAAACCTATGATTGTGGGTTTGAATCCCGGTTCTAGGTTCTAGGTTTGTCAGCACCATACCCGTGCTCGTGGGTTTCATCGAAGTGGTAAAGGTCTGAGACCTGCATCACTGCAGGCTTTCCTCCCACATAAGCTGACATGCCGCGATATAACTGGAATACTGTTAAAAGCGGCATTAAACCCAACTCACTCACTCACTCACTCACTCACTCACTCATGGAAGATGATGGAGATCCAGAGGGCTACAAACTTGACGGAGGACATCTGTATGTATTCAGTGTTTTCACGTTTATATAAGATGGTATTTTGGAAATTTCTACTTGAAGATTTGTAAAGATGAATATACTTTCTTCACAAAACACCTCCAACTGCCTTGACCTTCCAAGCAACTGTGAGAATCACATAAAAACAGACACGCTTTGTGTGTACTTCGACTGCCATATGTCAAACGATTGCCATATGGCCAACGATTGCCAGAAATCAATATTCACCACAGTATATATAAGCGGTGTTTTTATGTAAACAAATGTCCTGCCCCAACAAAAGCTATCACTGCGACTGATGTAGTCTACATACTGATGCTTTACACACATATCTTCTCATATCATTAAACAGAACATGCAAAACCATAGTCACAGACTGAGAGTGTGTTTGCATTTCTGTTGACCTGCTGATCAAGACGATATGCCTACTTCCACAGATATTACATCCTGTTATACTCTAGAAAACATAAAACAGAGTGTGGTATTTGCATAACAAGTATATAATGCCAATCTTATTTCCATAATTTGCACATTCAGATGCATGCAGAGCTGGGACAGCAAGGAAACGCAACGATACAGACCAACACGACAGGAACAAGGAAACAATTCCGTCATTCGCTAAGGCCGAAAGAAATTCATTAAAAGCTTTTCATCCCTGTCTGTCACTATGTCAAACAACCCACCCCACATGATTTTATGGTCCCTAACTACCAATGATGAAAATTACTGTGTGAAATACACTGTGATAGTCCTACCCAGAGACCCGTGAAGATCCGGGGTAGAATAAGTCTTCAGCAACCCATGATTGTCGTAAAAAGCGACTATGCTTGCCATAAGAGACAACTAACAGGATCGGGTGGTCAGGCTCGCTGATTTTGTTGATGCATGTCATCATATACCAATTACGTGGATCGGTGCTTGTGATGTCAATCACTTGATTGCCCGGTTCAGACTCGATTATTTACAGATAGCTGGAATATTGCTGAGTGAGGCGTTAAACAAGAAACAAACAAACAAAACATCATGTGAATCACATCAATATCAATGTGTCTTACAAAATAAACTACCTCCCACCTCCCACAGTTTGTAAATACCAATGGAATTTACTTTGGCCTACAAGATAAATAATTTCAGTTATTTTGTAATTACATTTTCCAGACTCTGCAGCTGGTGTAGACTGGGAACATTTGACATTAAAGAGCTTCATTAAGTCCCCATGGAGAATAAGCCCTGAGGGAACATCGGCCATATGTACATGTATTTACTTGCAATGATGAACACGTATGATAGCTTATTTACATAAGGATACATTCCATAATCTCAAACCATGTGGGGGCGTAGGAGTTTCTGTTTCAGTAATGGCTCCTTCTGGGTATCCAACAATACATTCATATGACATACGGTATATAATGGGCGAACATTAAGTCCTTTGGCAATGGTAATCTAAATTCTAATTCAGTTGAAAAAACAAGGGCAAAAGTGAGCATGGCTCACTAATACCCCCGACCCGCCTAGTGTGTCATTAGTTTCAAATAAAATAATGGATAGGGTTAGGGTTTGAGAAATTCATAAAAAAATGGAAAATTAATAAAAATAATAATTTTCTTTTGAGTGCACCCCTCCATTTGACACAGATTATATGTACTAAGTTTGAGATGAATCCACTGAATAGTTTAAGAGATATCACACAGACAAAGTTTTCAGACGGACAGCCGGACAGATGGACGGACGGAACCTTGGTATAACTATATACCCCCGAGCTAAAAGGTCGGGGGTATAACAAAGCATTGACAGACCTTGTTTTCATAAATGACAACTTCTGAACAGATGTATTATTATTCCATTACCAAGTTTTCTTTCTTTCCACGAACAACAGCAAAAACTGACTTTAGAAGAATGAATATTTCATCACACATACTATGATTGTCTAGATGAGTATCTACAAATCTCTCCCTATTCTCTTCAAAGGACAGAGTTTCTTTTATACATAAATGAATACAAAACATACCTCATAGCAAGCATAAAACATTGTTGATATAAGTCCTATGTATAAATAATACAACAAAGCAAACAGACAAGACATATTTATGTATCCATAGTCCAACTGACAAAGAAATATGTAGATGGTCATAACTGTATTGACGTCCGCAGAAGAGATTAAAAGATACAGACCCAAAACATGTCTTTGTATAATTCCTAATCAACTTCAAAGAAATTTATTTTAATTCTATATTGGCGAAGCTGTCTTATACACGAAGGTGTCAATATGTCTATGTGAAATTACACATCACCAGACCTGCAACAAGTCAGCTGTCTGACAACAATATCATATATTGCAGATACATGACATTTTGTATGAAGAAAGGCTACTAGTATACACGAAACCTCTTAACGCAGTGACAATTTGTTTCAACAATGTCATAGATACTAAGTCAATATTTAGGGCCTCCAATGTAACATGTTGGTTCTGGTCAAACATACTTGAAGTTTGTTGGTTCCCGTATGTGCATGTTTAAGTTTTAAAAATCATCTCAATAAAACAATCTTTTTCACAAAGTAGACACAATTTATGGATAACAACTTTTATCTATACTGAAACGTTGCCTTTAAGAAGTTATTATCCATAAATTGTGTCTACTTTGTCATCCGTCAACTTCTAAATAATGCCTATCAAACAATTAATCTTATTCACATCATTGATTTATAGAATTTACAATAATTCATACAAAATAGAAGTTTAACATTTTGCTTTTTTAAAGGAAAGCAGCAAAATCACCTATTTCATAATTAAATGTATGCAATAAGATTCAGCATGACAAAAACTATCTCAAAGACGACAAGAGTGATGACTTCAACTTTCCAATAGTCAACTTTTCCCTATATGTCAAATTATATTCCAGCAGATTCTGCCTTTGGTGTCTACATTACAACCAAGCATGGACATTCTACAAGGATTTCACACAACTCTTAATAATTGTTTGATCAGTGTTACAGAATTCAAGGCCTTTCCAAACGGTTTATGGTACGCATTTCCAAATTTGGCGGACCATGATGTATGATGCAATTTCTTATTTTGACTTGTACCACATGTTCCCATGCTTGTTCCAGTGAACACTTGCCTTGCCTTTGCATGTGTTTGTGATGCATGCCACCAGTGGGGCGGAGTATGTACACCTTTTCGCGAACACCTGGTATCATCATTATTTGATAGTGATTCATTAACACCTATGATATAGTCAGAATTATAAAAGAAAATTTTTCATGATTATGGTGAGGTTGTTGTTGCCTTTAATTATCGAAACCAAATTGAGCCATTTCTCATTTTGGAAATTAATCAGTCTTGATATCAGTTCTTGCTGCTCTTAATTATTCAGACCAAAGAGAATTATTTTAAATCTCCTGAGTCATTTATCATTTTGGAAATTTATCAGCTAGATATCTGTTCATTAGAAATCAACTTCTACATTACATGCAATCCTTTTCATCTCAATAAAACTTGTGTTACAAATGGTATTGGAACATGTGCACTGAACAAGACCCTCAAGACAACAAGGGGGCATAACTATATGCATTTTGTCTGAAGAGAAAAAGTTCCTGAAAGTAAAACCATTTTAAGCCACAACAAAAGACACTGTATTCCCATGACGTTGAATTTTTTATCAAATGCAGAGATGGACTTATGTCAAAGCCATCAAGCATATATATTCACCATTCTCCTGTGACATCACACATCAATCATACAACCAGCTGACAAAAAATACATTCTGTCAAAGCTTAGAGCAGGATAAGGACGAACTGAAGGCAAGCAAGATGTTCATTGTCCTTCCTCTGATCAATAAAATCAAAAATATCTTGACATGGCTTGAGGGTAAGATTTTTAAACTTTTGTGTTTCACAAAGTCCTGTTGATAACCCTTTCAATTATTTAGTTCATCCGAAAACAAAGAAGATTGTTCTACTGATGATTTACTAAAAAATTGCAGATTTTGTACAACAGCCCTGACACGATAATGTAAAAATGAGGTTAACTTTTATGTTTTTTGTGTCTAAGAACAGTTTTACAAGAATCATTTAATAACAAGAATCATATTAAGTTTGAATCGCCGTTTAAAATGAATGGTCAGTTGGCAATGCAAAACACAAAAATAGAAAAAAGCATCCCACTCATCGTGAGGAAGAAGATCACCTACCTGTAACTCTTCAGAGTAAGGGGCGTGTCACATCTGAAAGTAAACAACAAACATTTAGCCTTTACAAATCAAATTTGTAATAATTTCATTACTAGAACGATGCTCGTCAACATGGGAACAGGGTCCAGCTGAGGCGTTATGGATCCATGCTGAACAAGTTAGATGGTCCACTTTAACATATATTTTTAATAGTTTAGCAGGGTCCAGCTGAGTCGTTATGGATCCATGCTGAACAAGTTAGATGGTCCACTTTAACATATATTTTTTAATAGTTTAATTACTAGAACGATGCTCGTCAACATGGGAACAGGGTCCAGCTGAGTCGTTATGGATCCATGCTGTTCAAGTTAGATGGTCCACTTCAACACATAACATATATTTTTAATAGTTTGATTACTAGAACGATGCTCTTCAACATGGGAACAAGGTCCAGCTGAGTTGTTATGGATCCATGCTGAACAAGTTAGATGGTCCACTTTAACATATATTTTTAATAGTTTAGCAGGGTCCAGCTGAGTTGTTATGGATCCATGCTGAACAAGTTAGATGGTCCACTTTAACATATATTTTTAGTAGTTTAGCAGGGTCCAGCTGAGTCGTTATGGATCCATGCTGAACAAGTTAGATGGTCCACTTTAACATATATTTTTAATAGTTTAATTACTAGAACGATGCTCGTCAACATGGGAACAGGGTCCAGCTGAGTCGTTATGGATCCATGCTGTTCAAGTTAGATGGTCCACTTCAACACATAACATATATTTTTAATAGTTTGATTACTAGAACGATGCTCTTCAACATGGGAACAAGGTCCAGCTGAGTTGTTATGGATCCATGCTGAACAAGTTAGATGGTCCACTTTAACATATATTTTTAATGGTTTGATTAATAGAACGATGCTCGTCAACATGGGAACAGGGTCCAGCTGAGTCGTTATGATCCATGCTGTTCAAGTTCGATGGTCCACTTTAACATGTATTTTTAATAGTCTAATTAACTAGAATGATGCTCGTCAACATGGGAACAGGGTCCAGCTGAGTCGTTATGGATCCATGCTGAACAAGTTAGATGGTCCACTTTCAAAGTCGATCAAAGAATATTTACTGTGCGAAGGCCTCTGTCCCACATCCAGGTGTACATTGATGTTAGAATTGCACTACTGACTACACATACCAAATTTCATTACAGTTCAAACAAAAAGGACTGAGAAATGGCCATCAATAGCTTTTTCAATATGGCTGACGTGGCTTCCTCTGAATGTTAGTGTATTCAAAGCTGGTCCACTTCACAAAATACATAAAATGAGCATGTGTTTACCATGATGAAAACGAGTACGACAAGGATTGATATATTTCAAGTCCTTCAAACATCATGTTTTTTGTCCGTTAGTTCAAATTGGGGCTGGTCAGGTAGCCTCGTGGTTAAAGCATTCGCTCGTCACGCCGAAGACCCGGGTTCGATTCCCGACATGGGTACAATGTGTGAAGCCCATTTCTGGTGTTCCCTGCAATATTGCTGGAATTTTGCTAAAAGCGGCGTCCTCACTCATTCACTCACTAGTTCAAACTGATGACATATACCACTGTACCAACATCATGATACATACCACTGTACCAACATCATGATACATACCACTGTACCAATGTCATGGGACATACCAATGTACCAATGTCATGATATATACCACTGTACTGTCATGATACGCCTAACCAAAGACAGCCTAATGTTTCAGTGCCACACATGACTTTAATTAATGTACAGACAATGCCATGATGATTTTTGTATGTTTTGATCCCCTTGGCCATAAATCCAGATAACTCCACTCAGAAATAATGGTGGCCATCAAGAAGAATCTACAAGAAACTCATTGTTTTAATTCTTGATTTATCTGTTTGTATATATCTGTTTGTAAATCAGTTGACCTTTTTGCAAGATGTCAGGTCAGTGAACTAACCTCTCCTAATAAGGCAGGTCAAAGGTTAGATACCTCACACCTCCTGATGGAGGAGGCCAAAGGATGCAGAGCACATGCCTATCAAATAATATTATCTGACAATAGTTACACATTTGATGATAAATTCAACATTTATAAATTGGGTTTGTGTTCAGCATCTTGTAACCCATGACATTCCAGTTTTCCTATCTACACTGTCAATTAAAAGCTGTGAGTAGAAAGACATGACCCTTCGCTTGTAGAGCAAGGTCGACCTTCTGCTGCCTACGCAAGTCAATTGGTAGGTTGTCAATGTCCATGTCAGTGAGTTTATTGACACTGGTGCTTAGTTATCACAATTTCCTAGTCATCTCCACCACTATCATCACCTTCGTCATCATCTTCATCATCACCTTTGTCGTCATCATCACCACCACTATCATCACCATCATCATCATCATCATCACCTATGCCATCATCGTCATCATCATCCTCATCACCTATGCCATCATCATCATCACTATCGTCACCTATGCCATCATCATCATCATCACCTATGCCATCGTCATCATCATCATCATCATCATCACCTCCATCATCATCATCATCATCATCATTGGCAAGCATTTACTATACCTATAACTTAGTGAAAACAAGCCATCATACAATTCATACTTGGCTATATAGAGGACGATGGTGGGAGGCAGTTTCTTCACAATTTCATATTGATCTGCTTTTGTAATACTGGAGCTATTTTCTACATATGTGAGGAGAATATGATTTACATTGTTCATAGTTGCACATTGCCTGTTGCACGCAGACCTGATCAAAGAGAGTTGCAGCAGGGAGACTTTATTGACCCATTCTACCAAGAAAAATATTAGATTATAGTGCTCCACAAACTGCACATTGTAGACAGTCTCTGCAGTACATGTTAATATCCCTTCATAGTTTCCTTGCAACATCATCAATGCCTTCATCACCATCATCATCAGCATCAGCATCATCACCATCACATCACCATCATCACCACCATCACCACCACCATCATCATCATTACCATCACCATCATCATTTGCAGAGCAAAAATAGTGTCCTTAATAATAATTGTAAGTGAATTGTGTTTAATGCAGTCGTAATCTGTAAGTAATCTTGTGAGTGAGATGGGTTTAATACAGATTTTGATCATCATCGTCATCGTCATCATCATCGTCATCATTGTCATCATCATTGACAGAAATAAGATACAAACACTTGGCCCGAACTGAAATACATCTTAGTCATTTCACCCCTACCACTCTAGATAGGACTGATGTGACTGGGCTCGGAGCTGCACTGCGAGGACGCCCTCATCCCAGGAGGCTCTCCCAGCGTCTCCATATTCATTCCTCTGCCTGCTGGCTCCACGACGCTACATTTGTCAACCCGAACCAAGTCGGCCTCTTGTTTTTTACTGTTTCAACCTTCTTGTGACTGTGAGAAGCGAGCTATTTATTCATCTGTCTCTCTGACAAGGCGTCCCCAAAACAAGTTCTCTTTCGATCGATTTCACCAACAAAATTATTTTGGCTAAAAGATTATCCGTCTGCTGGTTGTGGCGCCCCCACTGCCTGGCATTCTGCGAGAGCGAGTGAAGAGGTTTAACCATGTCAATCTCCCACGATGCCATGGGTTAGGGAAGGAATCCACGGTTGGCTTAATTGTGAAAGGGATACAGATTAAAGGAAGCCCTTCGTGTTGATTGTACTCCGAGTTGGAGGAAAGAGGCGGGGTTGTGGTGGCGGCAGGGGGGGTTGGCCGGTAGATGGGGTGGTGGTTGGGAGGGTGGTGGCAGGTAGATGGGGGTGGTGGTTGGGACGGTGGTGGCAGGAGGGTTATGGCAGGATGGTGGTAGTTTGGAGACAGGGAGGGTGGTGGCAAGTAGATTGGGCTGGAGGATGGGAGGGTGGTGCCAGGTAGATGGGGGGTGGAGGATGGGAGGGTGGTGGCAGGTAGATGGGGGTGGTGGCAGGTAGATTGGGGGTGGTGGCAGGAGGGTGGTGGCAGGTAGATGGGGGCTGGAGACTGGGAGGGTGGTGGCAGGTAGATGGGGGGTGGAGGATGGGAGGGGGGTGGCAGGTAGATGGGGGGTGGTGGCAGCAGGGTGGTGGCAGGTAGATTGGGGCTGGAGGCTGGGAGGGTGGTGGCAGGTAGATGGGGGTGGAGGATGGGAGGGTGGTGGCAGGTAGATGGGGATGGTGGCTGGGGGGTGGTGGCAGGTAGATGGGGGGTGGAGGATGGGAGGGTGGTGGCAGGTAGATGTGTGGTGGAGGATGGGAGGGTGGTGGCAGGTAGATCGGGGCTGGAGACTGGGAGGGTGGTGGCAGGTAGATGGGGGTCGGAGGATGGGAGGGTGGTGGCAGGTAGATGGGGGTGGAGGCTGGGAGGGTGGTGGCAGGTAGATGGGGGCTGCAAACTGGGAGAATGGTGGCAGGTAGATGGGGGGGTGGAGGATGGGAGGGTGGTGGCAGGTAGATGTGTGGTGGAGGATGGGAGGGTGGTGGCAGGTAGATGGGGGCTGGAGACTGGGAGGGTGGTGGCAGGTAGATGGGGGGGTGGAGGATGGGAGGGCGGTGGCAGGTAGATGGGGGCTGGAGGCTGGGAGGGTGGTGGCAGGTAGATGGGGGGGTGGCAGGTAGATGGGGGGGTGGAGGATTGGAGGGGGATGGAGGATGGGAGGGTGGTGGCAGGTAGATGGGAGGGTGGAGGATGGGAGGGGGGTGGAGGATGGGAGGGTGGTGGCAGGTAGATGGGAGGGTGGAGGATGGGAGGGGGGTGGAGGATGGGAGGGTGGTGGCAGGTAGATGGGGGGTGGAGGCTGGGAGGGTGGAGGCAGGTAGATGGGGGGTGGAGGCTGGGAGGGTGGAGGCAGGTAGATGGGGGGTGGAGGCTGGGAGGGTGGAGGCAGGTAGATCGGGGCTGGAGACTGGGAGGGTGGAGGCAGGTAGATGGGGGGTGGAGGCTGGGAGGGTGGTGGCAGGTAGATGGGGGTCGGAGGATGGGAGGGTGATGGCAGGTAGATGGGGGCTGGAGGATGGGAGGGGGGTGGAGGATGGGAGGG